TCTTTTTAAATACACAACGGCTTCAGTACATTCATCTCATTGTAAATTGACTATACTGCATGAGATAAATATTTTTATTGATACGGTACTTTACAAGATAAATATAATGATGCCAAAATCATGGTCAGCTCAAGTTAAAACTCTTGGTTCAATTTCCAAAGTTTTGTCTCTAGCTCGATCTAAGTCGGAATTAAATAACTTGTTACTCTCTGCACGTATTTGTGCGATAATGAAAGCATACATCTCGGACTAAAGGATATAAATTGACTCTATGGATACAATCGTACGTAGAGCGCTGAACACCTTAAACATACACGGCCCCTAACCATGAGGCTGGGCAGATAATAAGTCCTTTTTAATTTGCCTCTGAGCAGGTTCAGCGTGGGCGGGATATTGTTACCCGGAAGACAATTACAACAAAACAAAGAATAAATAGGAATGAAAACATAGCTAACAAGTGGACACTCCCCCTCCCACACAAACATACGCAAACAAATCAATAGACAGAGAGAGAGGGGGAGTGGGGCACATACTCAATGAAACAAATTTAGCGAACGAGGCAAGGTAACCACCTGGTGATGCGCGTTTCACGCATGCGCACTCTCGGCAAACACTACATGCGCAGAATCGGTGGCTGAGCACCGTGGCACTTGTCGACGACTGAAGTGGCGTGTGGGCGGATCTCAGATGGGTGCAGAGATCCGTCGGTTCATAAAAGTCGCAACGCAACAAAAGTGAGAAATACGAACGTTGGTCATTACTTTCTTTTTCCTACTCCTCCACACGATAGCACGCACGTGCGACGACGTCATGGCGTAAAAGGCCATTTTGATTTCGATTTGGCGGAGCAAACGAAAATATGGAGATCAAGGTGGAAAATATTTCGGTAAGCAAGGGTCGAGGCTGTTACTCTTGGGAAAAAAAAGAAAGAAGCAAAACAGCCTGATATAATTTTTTTTTTTAATTTGTTGGGATTATATTACTACTAATTTTATCTGCCATGTCCCTTCACGGCGTAGGTGATCATGGTTCTCCACAACTGCCTTTCGTTGTTCTAAGTAACTTTTAACTCTTTACTATCCGCCCACGCGAAATAGTGAGTGAATATATTCAGTTTTCCTTGTTTCCACTTGCATTCATTGAGACATGTGTTAGCCTCCAAGCTTTCTTTGTGACCCCGAAATTTCAACGGTCATATTTTGATGTACTTTTTTTTAGTTCTCATAATAAGCATTCACCTATATAAATAATGCGTTAACATATACATATATATATATATATATATATATATATATATATATATATATATAATAATAAAAAGACAAGAGGAAAAATTATTTTAGCCGAAACGTTCATATATATATATATATATATATATATATATATATATATAGTTTAAAGGTATGCTATATGTATAGGATAATGTGCTCAATATCAGGAATATAAAAGTCGACATTGCGATAAACACCTAGTCTTCTTTCATGCTTAAACACAATTTTCTGATCACGTGCATTGTAATTTAGTATATATATATATATATATATATATATATATATATATATATATATATATATATATATTGTGTGTGTGCCTCTTTCAATACGGCGCCCAATGATGGAAATCTTTTAAAAATTTATCAGAATATGATTTATAATACTCTTCAGCGGAGACATACGTGTCAACCCACTTGAACATCAGCAGCCTCCATCTGGGTTTTTTGCAATGTTATTTTATGTTAGTGAATTTATTTTATATATATATATATATATATATATATATATATATATATATATATATATATATAATAGGCTCAAACACTAATATTCCATGATTATAATTTACTACATTGGAATCGTAATCGATCCAATTCATCAGACCTACAAATTAAAAAAAATTGAATTTGTAGTTCTGATGAATTGGATCGTGATTACGATTCCAATATAATAAATTATAACCATGGAATTTTAGTGATTGATCCTTTTATATTATATTCTTGTTCTGTCCTGGACATTGAGTTCTAACTGGATTCTATCCTCTTGGTAATTTATGTATATATATATATATCTACATATCTATATCTATATCTATATATCTATATCTATATATCTATCTATCTATCTATCTATCTATCTATCTATATATATATATATATATATATATATATATATATATTGACCACTAATATTATCTATCTATCTATCTATCTATCTATATATATATATATATATATATATATATATATATATATATATATATATATATATATAAATATATATATATATAAAGACTGAGCACCTATGGTCAACACCGAGTGTCGACCGTCTGTTTTCATGTTTGAACGCTATCTTCGGTTCATTTGTGTTAGGTGGTAACTGGAATATTTATACTTCCATGTCCACTCTTATATTTACACACGCTCCCATTGTATGACAAAGTGGAAAATATATAATACATCTGCCAGGAATGGTGAAATGTAGGGCGCACATTTACTGTGGATGAACACAAAAGAGACACTTTAGAAAACAATGCATCAAATGCATTGGTTGTCCACCCACAATTTTGACATAAAAATGCTACTCTGATCAAAGGAGAAACAATTCACTACGACGTAAATTTCTCGAGAGTATCTTAATCGCAAGGCCATCTTCAGTAAATTTGCGCCCTGGAGATCTAAGATCTTCTCATATCACAGTGTAGGATACCCACTAACAAAAGTGAAGTAAAGGAAAAAAAACCTTAAACGAATTCAACTAGATGAAAAAAATTCCCAGCACTTCTCGTTCGTGCACAATGTGTAGCATGAAACGCGTCACAAGTAAAATTTTTCCAGTTTGTTATATATATATATATATATATATATATATATATATATATATATATATATATATATATATATATATATATATATATAGTGGACTCTCCTGCTCAGACACCAGCACATATGATTTGACATTGTGATGAAGGCTTTGTGCAAAACCAACCACACTTTTTGAAAGGATGAATACAGAGACCTGATGCACTCTGTGTCACATAGCTGGAGAAGAGGAAGATTAATACCTTTCCCAAGGGTATCAGCACGTAAATGAATGTAATGGATTCGACTGGAATTCGAAATCGGCTCTCCGATTCCTCAGTCCGAGCCGCTATCCTCTACTCCATATAATGTGTGCATGCATGTGCCAGAGTGAATCACTTAGTCTGAAAACTTATTAATCCACTACAGTAGTTGTCAGAAATTTGGTCTATATAATATTTGATCCGTGTGATATTCACTAGAATGTTTTATATTTATATATATTTTGTTATGTAAAAGAAATATTTTTTATCAATAGACTGCAGATTTATGCACATGCACAGAATATGTGAATATGGTTCTATCAAATCTATTACTTGATAATTAGTCTATTATCTAAAATTTTGTCGGAAATTTTCTCCATACGATGATTAGTATCCACCACAAAATGATGTACATTTAAACGTATGGATATAAACCTGACAAATAAATTGTTGTTGTTTCAATTAAATATATTTTTCATCATTGGCTAATGAATTATTGATGTCATTTATTATATTTGCACATTAAAAACATCTAATAAAACATTTACGAGATAAAATAAATCTTTAACAAATCGTTGTGTCCACTGACGTTTAATTAACATAAAGATTAAGGAAAATTACTAGACATTCCCAGTTTGATAGTTTTTTTTAATAAATCGATCAAAAAATCTAACGATTATTAATATAAATTCTTACCTGAGCATTAGATAAAACTATTTTCGCGGATGGTCTACAAAAATGATAATCCATATCATTTTCACAGAATACTTCCTATCGTGCTACCCATAGAATAGATGTGTATATCTCTGAAGATACACTGAAGATATCTCAGCAAATACACTGAACTATATGTATATCTCTGAAGATACTCTGAAGATCTCAGCAGATACACTGAACTACCAGTTCTCCAAATTATTCCCTACACTCGCGTCCGCCATATATTATATAGCGATATAGCAAGCACAAAGAGGGGTAACACTTTATGTAATGATCATTTAGTTGTGAAACTACTAGTCACAATGCAGTGTTGATTTCTATGTAGACATTGCTTATGTCTATAAACACTCTATCCCCAACAGACAGCACTCTTCCATAATTATAGCAAATGCTAAATACACACACATATATATATATATATATATACGAACCTGTATCATATACGGAACCGTCATATAGCCTGACGTGTCTTTAACCGATGTGGCCACAGAGGGGCGTTCGTTAGCAAGGTCGATTTTACTGTTTTTAAACATTAATCTTCCATGAATCTCTCATGTACATTCATATCTGCTCATGGCGTATCCAAATGTAAACAAATGACGTCACACATTATGAAATGGACAAAGTCCAACAATTATTTTAAGACATTTTTATGTTTATACATTATTTTTATACATTTTTCGGACATTCAGGACGGTAAATGTTATTTAATACTGTTTATTATAAAGCATTTACTGATATATATATATATATATATATATATATATATATATATATATATATATATATATATATATATAATGTGTACATTGAAGTGACGATTGAACTGACGATTGTGTTTAATATGAAACAGTCTGTCGCCTCTGGGTGTTGACTTCGATATCCAATTTTATATTTACGTACACTCTATCACTTTAACCCATGAATATAGCATAAAACTATATTTATCCTGATATATATTTATATATATATATATATATATATATATATATATATATATATATATATTGTTGTACGATAATGGATATGTCCCCATTCACATCAATACAGTAGTAAATACTGTATTTTGGTTTTCAGTTAGATATTCATTGGGCAATTCACTTGACTCACTTCTAGCAGTTGACTACTACTTCTACGCGCCACTGGTGAATCTTATATGTGTTGTTCTTGTCGTAAGTATTATCGTTCATTACCACCCTTCTATTCACTAACCTTCCTTAGGTTACAACATAGATAGATAGATAGATAGATAGATAAAGCATTTCATGACATAATTCATTCCTCTTACAAATTGTACACTGTGTATTTTGGCTGCGGACATTATGAAAATGAATATTAATATGTGAGCCTTGCATTCACCTATCTGATGATCTAACTATTGACTGGCAACAAGCAACGACTGCTATTAACTGCTTGCGATATTGATATTTTTAACGACTGGCTCTATTCCCCCATTTTTCTCTTTTGAATCAGTAACGGTAATTAAATGGAATGCTTACCTGTGTAGCAAGTAAATACGTGGGCAACGCTGCATTCATGGATGGACAACAAGATGAGAAGCTTTAACTTCTCAGGACAACGCTAAAAATTACAGCCGACAGCAATAAAAAGTGTTTGCGTGTGAGTGATCTGCACATATCTATGCAAGTTGCAATGTTTATGCACCAGTTATATAATCGTTTCTATCAGATGTACACATGCCTCATCGCGCACATATAACGCCCACACACATGTACATAAATGCATATATATATATATATATATATATATTGTCATCCACAGACAGACTGTTTCGCTGTTTCGCAGCTCATCAGGATGACTAGACATCCGATTGCTTCAAGCCGGAATAGAAACCCAATTCGGCAACAGTCAGAGATTTTCCCCCTAAGCCATCGGTGCACTGTTGAAAGAAAGGCGGATTTTTATGTACTTACTCTGTGAATGAACACAATTAGTGTTGTGTATTCATTTATATCTTTCGTGTCACGCACTATAGTAGAAAAGGATGTAAATGCATTTAAGTTAGTAAATTTATTATTAGTGACTTCTCTTAGTCATTTTAATAATCTATGAAAATCCAATATTTATCTTTATTTAGACAAAATTAGGTCCTGAGCAAAATGTACCGTTTAATTAATCCTTTCCATACTTCAATGTTTCTTAGACTGCAGTCTTATTTCTTCTAGCCTTTCTTGTGAGGCCCTCAGATCTCTTTGTCTACTGAGAGATCGTCTTGCTTTAACTTGGTTTTAAGATAGGCTTTATTGTCGCCGTGTTTGTCCTTCTGTTTTTTTAATTTTCTTCTTCTTCCGAGTGATGTTTCCATTTCGTGTCACTGTTATATTAAAAACAGAGCCTTTAAGGTGAAAAGATATTGAACAAAAAGCGATTTCATATAATGCCAAGAGTAATCAATGAATTATAGATACCAATGACCGCCTGAAACTATAAAAGTAATTGAGTAATGTTTATATTTTAGTTGTGAATTCTGGATCTCCAATTTATTGCATCTAAATGCATCGTTTCAAGACGTCTGTTTCATTGTATTTCAATATTAATAACTTCTAACAATAGCAGTTATTTTTACGGCATGGATACACTAGTACATATATATAAATATATATATATATATATATAACCGAATACAGAAACCTGGTGTAGTATGTGCCACAAGGTCCGCAAACGAATTCAGAGTTGTCCTTCTCCTAGACCAGTTCCCATCCAAGGCTATAGAACCCAGTCTGTCCTATTTGCCCATAGCTGGAGGGTTATTATCTTTCCTAAGGGTATTAGCGGGTAAGTGTATGGATTCGACTGGAATTCGAACTCAGCTCTCCGATTTCTTAATCCGAGCCACTATCCACTATTCCACCGTGCCTCCTCAAAAAGTGTGATTGGTTGTGCACCACTTTAATCACATCATATGTGCTGGTGTCTGGCTGTCGGTTCCTAGGAACTGAGCTGCTTGACCCTCATGCGTCGAATACGACGGGAGAGTCCACCACAAGGATGGCTAATTACAGATGTAGACGCGCGTTCAGGAACACGAAATTTATTGCGTATACAAAATGATTTTCTAAACCGTAGCTTAGATGTGGCACAAGGTTGAAAGTATGGCGCACCTAGTGATTTTAAACAGTATTTATTTTCTCTACTCGCCTGCACACTCGAATCCTGAAGTAGGGCTCATTTTCATTAAATTTTCTCGAGTACGCAGACCAAATAAATCTGTTCAATAATTAAATGAAGCGTCTACTCAGATGGGGTATCCACTAAAAATAACATTTGAGTAAGAAATATATATATATATATATATATATATATATATATATATATATATATATATTGAGGGAGAGAGAGAGACAGGGAGAAATTTGATGATATATAATAAAGTAAAGTAAAACCTGAGGACAGTGGCTGATAGTTCTCTTTACCTCACTGCTGACATCTTTCTTCTCGGATGACAATTTCGAAAAGGTTAAGTATACATCGTTAAAAACTTAATGCAAAAAAATCCCTTTAACTACTTCTATTAATCTGAGCATTCGTAATTAACGTGAACAGTTATTTTGCCGGAAGTCGTTTATTTGTTTATTTATTTGGATTAAATTATTTTGCTTGTTTTTGTTTATTTTTTATTTTAATTTTTATTTCTTATCTTATATATTTATTTATTTTTATTTTAATCGGTGTTTTATTAACGTAGTAAAAATTTGTTTATATCGCTTATTTAATAGTTTTGTTTTGGTTTCGGAAGATAATTATAGCTATTTATTCAATTTTGGGTTTGATTGTTGTATTTTATTCTAACTATTATTTTGGCGGGAGGAGTTTTTAATTTGTTTATTACTTCATTTATTTCTTTGAATTGATTATTTTTACATGATTTTTCAAACGGTTAATATATCGGATCAGTTTATTATTATTATTTATTATACTGTATAATTTTATTTACTCTTTTCGGTTTACCATTTTTAAGTAACGTAGTGTTTCTTTTATCGTTATATAACAGTTATAGCTGTGTTTTTCGTCCGATTTTTGGTTTGATTTTTTATAGTCTAACTAATATTTTGGTCATAATGTTTTTTTAATTTGTTTATTATTTACTTTATTTATTTGGGTTCATTGATTTTGTTTTTATTTTTTATTTATTTATTCTATTTCGTCTATTCTAATGGGTGTGATTTGGTAATTTATTTGGGTTAATTTATTTTACTTATTTTATTGTCATTTTGTTTATTTTATTTTATTTTTCAGTTTTCGATTTTTAAGTAACGTAGTAAAAATTTGTTTTCATGTCTGCATTTTGAGATGAGCTAGGTCGTTTATTTAGTAATTTATTTTGGTCTGGGAAGGTAATGATGATAAAGTTTGGATTGGTTGGTGTAGGCTCACGATCTTTCCTTATTTTCCAAGATATTTTTATGTGATGTGCGTTTTGTTTTTAATTTCTCAGATATATTTAGAAAGCATTGTGCTGTTCGCATATTTACTATTTGTGAAAGATGTTTTCTGTTCAGAATTTCTTTGTTTGCAGGCTCCTTCATTATACTTTTTCTTCATTAGCTGGTGATTTTATCGTGGCTTGGTATATTACGTTGTTTTGTAAGCAATTACCATTTAAGGGACATTCGTTCTTTATAAATCGTTCGAAATAAATACTGTTTAAAATGAACGGAATGTCGAGTAGCCACTAAAAATAACATTTGATGCAATTAACATATGTCGGATTAAAAAATAAAACCCCTACATATAAATATAAGTACCTATCTTCCCAAACCAAAACAAAACTATTAAATAAGTAATATAAACAAATTTTTACGTTAATAAAACACCGATTAAAGTAAAAATGAATAAATAAATATATAAGATAAAAAAATAAAAAAAATAAATAAATACAAGGAAAATAATTTAGACTAAATAAAAAGACAAAAAAACGACTTCCGGCAAAATAACTGCCAAAATAGACTACCCGCAATGCACCACTGACCCGTATATATAAATAGCCGAGAAAAAAACCATCACCCGTGGCCTAACGATTGCTTCTAGAATGAAACAGACTGTCGCCTCTAAGTGTTGACTTCAATGTTCAATTTTATATTTAAACATGCTCTATCTCTTTATCCCATAAATATAGCACACCTTATGAGTATATTTTTCATATATATATATATAAGAAGAAATATAATTTTAATGTGTGCTATATATTAGGGATAATTATCTTCCCAGACCAAAACAAACTATTAAATAAGCGACCTAAGCAAATCCTCCCCAATTTTTTTATACTACGTTAATAAAACATCTATAACCGAAAAGAATAAATAATACAAAATGAAAATGAAAAACAAGTAAAATAAATTAACCTAAACAAATAAATAAATAAACAAGCCACTCCCGCAAAAATAACCGTCAAAATAGATTACCCAAAATGCACCACTGACCCATATATATATATATATATAAATAGTCGAGAAAAAATCCAACATTTGTGGCCTGACGATTGCGCCTGGCATGAAACAGCCTGCCGCCTCTGAGTGTTGACTTCAATGTTCACACACACACATATATATATATATATATATATATATATATATATATATATATATATATATATATATATATATATATTATAAACCTAAACCAGCGTAAGTTTTAAGTGAAGGTTTTCTGCTGGAACTTTCTTCTCTTATCTAAATGAGTAATCTGTGTTTAGATATTTGGTGACACTGTAAAGGAATGCTCCTTTGATACTGTTGCTAACTTGAATAGATAGATCCTGACGTCCTTGACTACACTCTGCAGTAGATTATATTTATTAGTTGTTTATATTATTATTTTTATTATATTTCCTATTTTTATTTTTTACTTTTTTTTTGTACCTATTTATGTAGGTATAGGAGTATGTGTTTTGTAAATGCTTGTGTCTAAATGTATATTGAATACGTAAAGATGTAGATGTACCCTGAATATGAATCGATTGATCTAAATCATGTTTTAACATGTCTCATGTGGTTGTTGGCGCCTCTGTATAGCCAACAGCTACAAACGATGCCGCAGCGTAAGTAGAGGCTGAAAATATCAAAGCATGTTTGACCACGAAAAAAGAAAACAAAATACAAAACCCTTGTTTATTGCCCTCATAAACTCGGGGATACAAATTAAACAATTCAATTGATTTTAAAAGTTGTAGCTGCGGTCTTACTTTTCTGTTCTATATATCCTGGAAGAAAATAATAAAATAACAACATTTGTCTTTGTTAAA